TATAGAAATGGAAAAATGTCTATATTATTGATAACATTTCTGCTCTATTTTCTGTCTATATATGACATTATTATTTCTCTTGGTTTCTGAAAAGTAAATATATTTTATTATAATGCCATAATGGTAAAATGAGAAATTTAAATACATAAAGAGAATATGAAAATAATATAAGTAACATCTTAATAGTGACATGTTACTTCAGTCACTATAGTAAGTCCTCTTCTGTTGAGATCAGTAGGAGTTTAGGGGCCAGGTGCAGTGGCTCACACCTGTAATCCTAGCACTCTGGGTGGCCAAGACGGGAGGATCACTCTGAGCTCAGGAGTTCGAGACCAGCCTGAGCAAGAACAAGACCCTGTCTCAAAAAAAAAAAAAAAATACATAGATCAGTAGGACTCTGGCATGGTGAGGGGATTGTGACACAGCGCTTTTCTGCACATGGTTTCCGGCCAGGCTCACCTTCCTAAACAGCCCTGCCGATACTTCCAGTCTCACTGCTCTCCACGTTCCATCTCACCCCTCTGTTCCAGCCACTGTGAAATACCTAATAGTCTCTGGAGCACAGCATAATTATCAAGAATATAATGACAATACCACAAAAAAATGCTATGTGAGGTGATGGATATGTCAATTTGCTTGACTATGGTAATTAATTCACTATGTATCTGTATATCAAAGCATCATATTGTATACATTAAATATATACAGTAAAAATAAGTAAATTAAATTAAAAAAAGAATATAATGACAATAGTAGGCAGACTCATTAATAAGATAGCTATGGTTTGCTAAAGGACGGAGAAACAAATTGTAGATGTGGTACCAAGCTTTCCCTAAGATGATTGCATTAGTTTTCCGTGAACAAGGATCCAGCATTAGTGAAAATGCATGGTATCTAAGGACATCACACAAAAATCTAGGATAGGCGAGGAATGTGACAAACCAACCAACAGAATAACTGAAAATAATTATTGACCGTGAATGTGTTTCCTTTGACTTTGTGGTCTATTATATTTTATTTGCAAAAAGACAAATTTTCAAGTAAGGGTATAAGGAAATTCTCTAGTAAACAATAGAAGTTATATGTTATAGGAAATGTCACACGGAAAGAAGTCTGCAGGTTAACTGAGTTAAATAAAATACCCGAAAGTGTCCTTTTAACGGGCACAGAGCATGAAAGAAAAGAAGAGAAGAAAAGATAATACACGAGCAAAAGGGAATGAATGTTCTTCCTCCTGGATAAATCATGGGGAGTCCACATGCAGCCAAGGTGACAAACCTACTGCTGTGAGAACATATTACATAAATAAATATTGGGTATAAATATTATTAATATATATTACACATTTTTTGTATATAAATATTTATGTCCAAAACCTCCTAGCCTATATTTCAGATATAAGTATGAGCACAGCCAGTTACAGAATGGTGTTGAATAAATCAAGTATGCCAACTGTGCCATTTTCCTTGATATTTCAGTGAAATTGCACTGCCACGTGCAATTTGAGGGAAATGTTTCAGTCTTGTTGAAGTCCACAAAAGAATCAACAGGATTTGTGGCATGCCATTTTTTAACTTATTATAGACAGGTAGAAGAATGTAATGATACCAAAAACAGAATTCTATACATTTGATCTGAGAACAACAATTTATCAGAGACCACATATTCTGGGCCATGCTGTCAGTTGTTTTACACATGTAACATTATCATTTATCTAATGGGATGGATTACAAATTAGTCAGAAATAAGGAAACGTTTTTTTGTTAGCTTTTTCCTGCATGTTTTATTTATTTTT